CCCCCGCCCCCCCCCCCGCCGCAGGAGGCAGGCGCTCCCGTCCCACCAGCGTTTCTTCCGCTGCTGCTTCCTGGAGCCCCCGGCCCCTCTGGGAAGAAGCCACTGACAGCTTCCGCCGCCTCCTGCACGGGGCCAGGATGCCTCCTCAACCGGCTCGGATCGCCGCGGCAGTCTCCTTGCCCCGACCTTGCGGCGAGGGGCCTGGGGGTCGGACAGCATCCCCGTAACTGGAGGTGGAGCCGGCCCCGCGGCCTCCGGGGCCCACCGCTTCTCCCGCCTCGCCCTCCTCCGTGCCTTGCCAGCCCTTGTGGCACCCCTGCGGCAGCCTCCTCCTGGGCGGGCCCCTGGCCAAGTGGGTCCGTGTCTATGCAAAGCCGGGGCTGCCCTGAGGGCTCGTTGGCTCCTGTCGAGTTTACAGCTGTTTAAAAACAAAACCCGGTGGATTTCGCTGTGCGGCGTCCAGGCTTGTTCACAGGGTGGGGGTGGGAGCGGCTCCGGGGGTGGCGCTGGGCTGAGGCCCCCATGGCCCGCCTCGCCCTCAGCCCGGGGGTGCAGGGCCTGCGGGTGACTCACCCCTGCGACCCCTGACATCACTGGGGCCAGGCTGGGGGGTCTGTGGGCCGCGTGAAGCCCCTTCCCTGGGCTTTCAAGGGTCTTCGCACCTCCCTCGTCCTGCGGGACCACCTGCTACGGCACGCCAACGGCATGGCCAGTACGGTGGCCGGGGGAGGGGGCGGTCACACCGGCTGGTACGGTGGCCGAGAAGCCACGCTAGTAGGACTGCTTGGTACGGTGGCCGGGTGGGGGGGCGGATAAGGGTTGACTGGCGAGCGCAGGCGGGACGGTGGCTGAAAGGGGACGCAGCGGGGGAACAGGGCCATACGGTGGCCGAGAGGGGGACACACAACGAGGGAAACAGGCCCGTACGGTGGCCGAGAAGACGCTGATTGGAGAAGCCGGGTGGTACGGTGGCCGAGAGGAGGTGCAGGGAGGGGCCAGGCCCGTACGGTGGCCGGCGGGCGCCGGGCGTTTCCCGGCGGCGCTCGCGCGGTGTGTAAACAATGAAGATGGCCGCCGCCAGGTCCTTGTGAGCGCGGGCCAGGCCGGGTGGGCCTAGGAGCCCGGGAGGGTTAGCCGGGCGAGCTCGGGGCCGGCTCCAGGGAGCCCCTGCCGGGGCGTGCTGCGGCCGCGATGGACTTCTCCAGGTTCCTGGCTGACGACTTCGAGGTGAAGAGCTGGGTGAACGGGGCCTTCCGGGCCGGGCAGCAGGACGCGCCGGGCAAGGTGGACGCGCACGCGGCCACGCTCGTCATGAAGCTGCAGCTCTTCATCCAGGAGGTCAACAACGCGGTGGAAGGTGACCGAGCTCCGCTTCGCTCCGTTCAGCCTTGGCTGTACCCGTGAGACCCGCCAAAGAGCTGGGGAAAGCCTGTCCTCTGCCCAGGGTGTCATCGGACCAGCTGCTTTGGGGAGGTGCGACATCTTTTATTAGACCAACTAAACAGTTGGGAAAACTGTTCTTGGCAAGCCTTGGGGCACAAACACCCTCCTTCTCCCAGGCAGAGGCAGAGTTTGGGCCCAAAAGCGTGCCAAGAACAATTTTTCCAGCTATCTAGTTGGGCTAATAAAAGATATCAACGAACGTAGAACTGTAACATAAATGCAAGCAAAAATACAAATATGACAGTAAAATAGGGCCAGCCATTATAAAAGCATTGTTCCTGCTCCGAAAAGTAACATCATCAAATACGGATATGCATAGGCGGTAAGGCCGGAAGGGATCTTGGAAAATCGTCATGTCCGGCCCCCTGCACCAAGCAGGAAAGGTGCTAAATCAAATCAAATTAAATCGGATCATATGTGGTGATAAATCAAATCATAAACCTATAAAAATGTTGGTCTGCAATTGATCACAGTGTAAAACAAACGTAGTGATAAGAGTTATCAGTCATATCAACAGTCAAGGGTGTTTAGCTCTGATCGCTTCAGCCTTATAAGGAAAAGTTGCGAGACAGTTTACTAAATATGGATGTTTGCTGGAGAAATAAAAGGTATCGCATCTTCGCAAAGAGCCTTGTCTGCCTACGTCCTTAGACCAACACGGCTACAACCAACAGCCTTAAATTAGACTTGTAAGAAGATGTTGTGATCCCGGATCTAGGTGATGGTGCTAGGAGGAGCCAAGCACGTGTGTGCGTGTAGGGGTGGGGATATCTGCTTGGTAAGCTGCTTTCAGTGTGTCCTGACCTGCAGCATCTTTGGCTGTTTCAGATCAGACTTGTCTCAGAAAGGATTGTCCCTGATGCTTGGCATCCCCTGCCGTTATAGATCTGGGAGGCTTTATTGGGTATAGCTTGAATACAAGAGTGAAGACTTGTTGATGGTCAGGCCCTCAGGAATTTGTGCACGTTTGTGAGGGTTTCTCTCGTCTCACTTTACTGCTTTTTGTCCCCGCAGAAACGAGTCACCAGGCGCTTCAGAACATGCCGAGAGTCCTGCGGGACATGGAAGCCTTGAAACAGGAAGCAACTTTCCTGAAGGAGCAAATGATCCTCGTGAAAGAGGATATTAAGAAATTTGAAGAGGACACGGCTCAGTCAATGCAGGTAACTCATCTCCTTGGTTAGTATCATCAGTGATTCCCTGGCTGGGTATGATTGCCCCAGTCTCTTGTATTGAGCAAACTTGTAGACTCAAGACTGGGAAGCTCTCTGGGAAGACTGTCTGTGCTGCAATTCCAGGAGGGCTGTGCTAGCTCTGTGCAGCAGCGTGAGCTCGGGGCTTGTGAGCACAAGAGGGAAACAATGTGGTGTTAGAAGTCAGCCTGCTCATAGGATTATTTGCTTTCTGGATTGCTGAAGCCATCCTGTTGCACTGCAGCACATCCTGAGGCTGTGGGATCCTGTGTGTGATGAGCCTTTATGTCTTTTTCAAGCAGGACAGACAGTGAAAGCCCTTACAGTTTGGTAGCTTCTCTGCACTACAGCAGTTCCATTCCTTTCAGCTGCTTCAGGTTTTCAGTTCTTTTTGAGGAGTGTCAAAAATTGTTGTGGAGTTGGTCTTTGTCTCCTCGTGGGTGAATGGTGATGGTTATTCAATACACAGGCAATTGGATTTCCTAGAGCTGGATGGGGCATGGGGACACCAGTGAAAGGCTTTTCTCAGGCAGAGGATGACCACTCCATGGTGGAATCGTGAGGTGGAAACATGGGGGACTAGGGTGACGTCTTATCCATTCTTATGCGCACTGTGTACCAAAGAAGTGCACGGTGAATGCAGGACCCTTGGTCATCTCTAAGACAAGTGTAAGCCACCAAAAAACAGAACAAACTGTGACAGGAGCTGTTGTGAACTTGTAGTTCTCCCAAGTGACCAAGCGGTGAAGCACAGAAACCTTGACACTCTAATTCAGTTGCTCTTGTTATTGATAGTGTGCTGTGGAGTTTCTCTCATACGGAACGGATACTGAAGATATTTAATTCAGAATTCCAACCTAGCTTATGTTTTTTCAACATGGACATTGCTTTTAATCTCTTGGAGAAGGAAATTCTCCTGCTTTGTGCAAATCCCCTGAATTGTGCCTTGTGAATCCACCTTAGCCAGCTTCCTCATGAAACTACTGTTTTGCTATTTCATCTGCTGTTTAAACCTATGTACAATAGAGTAGACCTGCTTCTGTTCCCAGATCAAACAGCTTGCATGTTTGCCTCCCTTTCCACTGGGCAACAGCTTCATCTCTGTTTCAGGTCCTGGTGGAGATTGATCGAGTGAAATCCAGAATGCAGCTGGCTTCCGAGTCGCTCCAGGAAGCAGACAAGTGGAGCACGCTGAGTGCAGATATCGAAGAGACCTTTAAAACTCAGGTAGGTCCTGGCATGAACCTGACCATTTCCAGACCTTTGTCCATTGTTGCTTCCAGAACACTGTTGTGAAGCCTGGGACTTGTTTGCTACTGTGCTGACGAACCCTGTAACTTGCTTTTGTGGCAGGATGTGTCTGTGATCTCTGCCAAGCTAACCAGCATGCAGAGCAGCTTGGCGATGCTTGTGGACACGCCGGACTACTCGGAGAAATGTGTGCACCTTGAGGCACTGAAGAACCGTCTGGAGGCCCTGGCCAGCCCTCAGATTGTCGCCACATTCAATGCTCAGTCTGCGGGTCAGTGCAGCTCAGCTTCTTTTGTTTTTAATGTAGATCGTTTATATACAGGCAGAGGGGAAGCTGTCTCCTAAGGAGAATTAGGATGCTCTAAACAGCAGTGGGGGGTGGAGCCGCCTTTGCGATGAGCTGACAGATTGGGCTAGCCTTGTCCTTCCTGATCACCCTCTCTACTGCTGAATTTGTCCTTTGTTCTTTTCTGCCCTACTCCTTGTTTTGATCCTTTTCTCTTCTCTGCACATGCTTTTCTTCCCTGTCTCTAATGTATTTGGCTTTGGGTGGGGGGGGAAGGAGGGGTGTTGTCTGCCAGAAACCTGGCTGTTGCTTGGAGCAGGGATGAGCAGCATAGGGCAAGTGGCCTGAAGCTTGGGGTGTGTTAGATGTTCACATGCCTGCTATGTCTGAGGGCACTAGGAGCAAAGGGAGAGATTGGCTGCTGCGTGGCCTGCAGTCACAGGCAGACACTAATGAGTGTGGTGGTTGGGGTTATGCAATTTTCCATTATGCCCCTGAACAACGCCCAGGTTAGCAAGGTGCAGCTGGTGTGTATCTAAGGCCTCTGCAGTTGCCTAACTGAAGTACTGCCAAATGTATCCAGTGCAGATCCATGTTGTAGCCAAGGGGCAAATTCATTTGGAAACGGCTTGACTCTTTATTGCCTCGTAAAGTTGCATTCTAAAGGGAGGGCATTTTTGGTCTCTACTGACTGCCTGCCCCTGCCTTCATGCCATCAGCATCTTGTCTGGGAAATGTTATCTATTGCTCCTGTTCCAGTAGGACCTAAAAGCCCCAGTAGGTATCAGGTGCTGTTGTGCTGGGTGCTTCAAAACTCAGGCCAAGAGGTGGTCCATGCCCCAAGGAACTTGCTGTCTAAGTGAAAGCGTTGGTATTGAAAGCTTCGTATGCTCAGGTTCTTAATGGAGACACTTGACCTTTTCCCATCCACTACCACCACCATCTCCTCTCCTCTTTGCCCTTCTCACTCCTCTTCTGTCTTTCCCTGCCACTCCTTACTTTGATCTCTTTCCTCAGGCTGTGCTCCTCGCTGTTCCTCTTTGGTCTCTGTATCCTGTTGCTCCCATAGGGTGCCTGGCCTTTTGTAGGCAGAGGCAGGGGTACAGTAAGGTTTCAGAAAGTCTTCTCCCTTTTACGGTGAAAGCCCCCCCAAAAGAGCAGGTTAGAAACAGCCAGCTTGATGCTAATACTCCTTAGCAGGATCTCCGGGTGGCTGTGATAGGAAACTGCCAGCAGATGGCACCTCTGCACTGGACATGTGTCTTTTGCTTGGGCCAGTTATTCAGGGTGTTTCACTGGCTTTGAGGTAAATACAGCTGCTTGCATATTTCCCTGCTCAAGTCCGCTCTGGAGCAGCTGGCAAATGTACTTTTCCTTTCCTTTGCTAGCATTTCTCAGGCTTTTCTGAGGTGGAGTTTTTGTTGGACCTTGTAATGCAACCCTAGTGCAACCCAGCAGCAAAACAGATCAAGGTTTTAAACTGGTCATTGAAAACACCTGTGAACCCAGCTGCTTGCTGTAGACACAGCCATAGTCACTGCTCCAGATATACAAAGGGATTGGCAAGATTTGAGAAAGTTCTAGCTGGGTCATGGGTCAAAGTGAAGAGGCCACTAATCTGGGTGTTATTGCAGGGGGTCAGTGAAGGCAGAACTGCAGACCTGCCAAGGCCTGGAGAACCCTACTTGTGCGTGGGGAAAAGACACCAGATCTTTAGGAGGTTCCCCACTGTTACTGGGGGCTGGAGTCGCTGCCTTACAAAGGGAAGTTGAAAACTCATGGATCAGTGCTCTTCACTGCCCACACTATGAGCATGGATTCAGAGGCCACTGTGCTCCTAGCTGGAGGGAATGGGGCACTCTGAGGGTCTCATCACTTTCTCTACATACTGTGATGCAACCCCCTCCCCACCATACCCTACCCCATTGGATCCAGGCTCTTCTGTTCTTGAGGCGGAAGATTTTTTGTCTAATTTGTGTTACACAGGTTGGAAGGTGACCTGTTAATTGAGTTTGGTGCTTTTTCTTTGTTTAGATCAGGCCAAAGTGTTTGTGAAAGTCTTCACCGAGATCGATCGGATGCCCCAGCTCCTTGCATATTACTACAAGTGTCACAAGGTATGCGTGTGTGTCTCCTTTGAACGGGGCTAATGAAATACAGCATTGTGACTTGCTGTAACCTGTAGGGGGAGCTGTCATTCTAGGCACGTCACTTGTCCAGGTAAACTGAGGATGGAGTCCCCTGTCTTATCTTCTCGAGTCCGTTCCTGGCGCTGCCGGCTTTGGTTACTCCCCCCGGGGTTGGGGGACTTTGGGAATAAGTTTCCAGAAGAGTCCTTGTGTGCCTTCCCCAAGTAGCAAGCATTCTGCATGAGAAGGACGCTTGTACTTGTCCAGAAGTTTTCTGTGCCCAAGAAGGTGTTTGCTTTTTTTCCTCCATTCCTAGCTTGGGGTTTCTGGTAGAAACTTTACTGGAACTTGCTGGCTGCCAAATTCTGCAAGCTTTTGTCAGGCAAGTCTGGAGAGTGGAATTCCGGACAGTTGGGTGATCTTAACCTGATCCTCCAAAGCCTCTCATCACTGTAGCTTGTGGGGATTAGGTTCAGGGCAGGGACCTGCCAAATACTTCAGCTGCGGTGTTGGTTTCAGTCTCATTTATGAGCAAAATACCAATGTTAATTAAACCTGTGGATGAGCCAAGAAGCCGTTAGCTTCATTTTGGAAGCCTGAGACCCTTTCAAGGTGCAGTGCTATAGCAAGGGCACTCACTGTTTTTGAGGACAAGCAGCTTGCATTAAAATTGTGTCTACTCGAGGTATGTAGGCCCAGTTCTGTAATATGTGACTTCTGCTACCCTTGCAGGTGCAGCTGGTGGCAGTCTGGCAGGATCTTTGTCAGAGCGATTTAAGCCTGGATCGGCAGCTGACTGAGCTGTATGACACTCTGCTTGGAACATGGCACTCGCAACTCCAGTGGGCCATGCAGGTACAGGTGTTACCAGCAAATGTCAGTGCAGTGCATAGGAGGGCACAGGACAGGGATGAGCATGGGCTCTGCCGATGATAATAAAGCTCGGGCTGTCCCAGTCTGTTCCTCTCTGATAAAGTGCATCTGCCCTCACAGACAGGACTGGAGCACTGACTAAACCAGGGGCAGCAGCACTGTGTTGTGGCTGTTAGAGCTGCTCTATCTCTTTTATCTCTATCTTAAGTGAAATCTAATTAGTCAGTACTGCATTTTGTACTGTTGCAAAACCTTTGAAATTCCTGAATTTCATTATTGCTGGGCCTGGAGGAGACCCTGGAGGATCGCTCGACTGGCTTGTGGGGTTCTGTCTGAGTAGTGGGGGGCCTTCTGCCATCAGCCTGCAGCATTGTGCAGTACAAGAAAACTGGAAATGCAGTTTACCTTGCACACCTCCTCTGAAGGCAGTTTGCTTTCCTCCATATTGACCTGGAAACTTTGTGTCAGATCTTGCTGAGCCCATAGGAGTTCTCACCCATGAAGGGTAAGGGAGATTTTTATCTCCAGATTATGTAGCTTGTAATAAGTCTTGAGACTTTCCTGCAAAGAAAGCCAGCCCTTTCTTGAAATAATGTATTTTTCCCTGCATAATAATTAGACATGAATCATAGTTCAGATGTTGACTTATTTACTGCCATGTTCTGTTGGAGCTTGCTTTTGTGATGGGGTTTGCCATCAGGGCCAAAGCTTGTATCACCCTTGGGTTTTCTCCTGAGCCTTCATTTGAACAATCCTTTGGTATAAGTAATTTCTCTTTCCCATTCTACCTCCTGTCCAGGCCTTCCCACTGTGGGATAGGCCCAGGTCTGACAGTGGGAAGGTGTACAAGATGTACAAGTGGTTAGAGATAGAAGCTTGTTAGTTGGTCCGAGGGATCATAAGATGAGCCCCTGCAGATAAAGATGAGGGCTGCATCTTGAGGACGTGGAGCTGGCCTTATTGTGGTCTAAGGGAAAAGGTTCCTACCTGGTTACATCTGTCTGAGACTAGAATATAGTTCTTCCCAGCACTAGCCTCTGCCTGCCCTTGCTGGGGGATGCTCTGTCCCATTTCCTCATGCCATATGCATTCCAAGGTGCTTCTTTAAACTATGCTTAAAGGCAGAGACCCTGTTTGGTACTGCGCTGCTGTTCCATTGCCCACTGTTTGCCTGTCTTCCACTGGTCCCATCTCTCATCAGCCTCAGATTTGCTGCTGCCTTAGACAAAGTGCTGAGTGAATGGCAACTCTGTCCCCATGCAGTGTCACCAGCCTTCTCTGTACATAGGCCTGTCTTCAAATGTATTCACCAGCACTAGTTGGGATTGCACTAGCTAGAGAGGATCCAGTGGCTTGTCTGTATGCACAGTGTAATGTTCTTGGCCTGCCTAAGCTGCCTGCAGATGAGCATGCTCCATGGTTCTGCTTTGGGGTAATTTGTCTCCCCCACTCCATGCAGGACTCCTGTGAGCTCTTGCATGGTTTTTGTTGACCAGACTGCTCTGCCAGCCTCCATGGGAAGGCAGTGGCCTGTGGCCGAGGCACCAGGGCTCTGTACAGAACCTGTGGGATGCTTTCTGTTGCCAGTAGCATTTCCTTGAGGTGATGTAGGCTCTGCTAATAGCTTTTTTTGCTCACGCAGGTTTTCAAGAACCCCCATGAAATCGTGACTGTGCTGCTGATCCAGACGCTAGGGGCCTTGGTGCCTTCCATCCCTGTCTGCCTCAGCACCGCAATGGAGCGAGCAGGTCAGGAAACAAAGCTGCTGAAGCTGCTGGAGCTGTACGACACCACCCTGCACTTTGCACGCGGCCTGGAGGTTGCAATGCTGCCTAATCTACGTAAGGATTGTTATTTTCAGTGTTCTGCTTTGCTGCGCATGGTATTTGTGTAATCCTCTGTTAAGTCCTGGGGTTTTCTCCATGGAAAGTACTACTTCAGAAATGCAAGGCCATTGTATTTATTCTACAGCATTTACTTGGTACATGGTGTTTGTACCAAAACATATATTTAACTTGCTCTAAATATATTGACACAATCATGATTATGTTTACTGAAAGAGAGCTGATATCGCCTCAGTGCCTTGAGTAAATAATACTTATCACTTTTCTTTAATGTGCGTTAGCATTTCTTTCCCCTCAGACAGAAAAATTGAGTTAGAGAAGCTGCTTGACTAGTTTGGGCCACAGCAGCCAAAGATCTGGGTAGTTTTCTGAGCTTATACCATACCCCTGTAAACAAGAAGTTGTTTGCTCTCTCAAATGCTGCAAGGGAAGTTTTGTTTAAAAAAAGTTTTCTTTGGAAGTCAGAAAAATTGCAGGTGCCTTCCTGTTGATCTTGTGGCTTAGAAAAGCCAAATTTTAGCCAAAATAAACCACTGGGCCAAGCTTTATTATTTCTGAAATATATATCAGCCTATTGCCTAAAAGGCTGAAGGTGCCTTGCAGGACAGGTAGATAGCACTTTCCCTGCCTTGAGGCATTTGCGGTCTCTTTTAAAAAATGACTTGGTGGGCGATGGTTGCCAACTGAGAGGCAAGGGAGGAGAGAGAATGAGGGCATCAGTATCCAGACCACGCAGTAGTAATTTAGGCTCATGCACAGTTTTAATCTGGGTTAATTGTAGCATAATCTTAATTTGGCAGGGTCCCTTCAAAGGCAGCTTTTGGGACCATCATATTTTACAGCTGATGGGTCGTCTCTAATTCTGTGTTTCCTGCCTTTGGTTGCTTTCTGACTCTGTCCTCAGCTATGTAATCTTAGCTTTTTAACTAATTGCATTTAATTGTGATGGCTTTGGCATTCCAGGAAGTGTGGCTGTTTCATCCGTGTACTCTGCCTATCCTTCTGATTCCCTGGGTACTGTTAACATTCACTACCCTCCCACTGGTTGGACTTAACTGGGATAGGTAGCAAAGAACTTGGAGAGATGAGGCCAAAGTCTGTAAGACCACGGAATAGGAAACTAGCACTGAACAGTTAGCTGAGTAAAAGCAGCATAATTTATTTGCATATCAGCCTGCCAGAAGGTCGTGTGCTTCTAAAACAACATAGTGGAGCGGAAATTGTCCAAGAACAGGAGAGCTGAGTGATAGATTGGCAAGGAGATGTAGGCTTCCGGTTCACTCAGTCTTGGCTGGTAGTGACTGTGCAGGGGCCTACGTGGAATGAGTTGGTGTCATTCATTTGAGGTAGGGATCAAGACCTGTTGGGCTGGGTCAGACACAAGTTTGGGCACTTTGTCACTGGATGGTGGAGGCTGGGATGGATGACAGCTGGCAAAAAGTCCAGTGGCTCAGTTTGGTCTCAGGCTTCCCAGAATATGACTTAAAATTCCCTCAAAGTGCTTCTGGAATAGGACATCTGGGCCTTACAGACTGTATCGCAATAAAGTCCCCATTTGCTAAAAAAGCGCTCAGTTCAGCTTTACAGCTGTAGGCATTGTTCCAAGGTGTATCCCGAGGCACTTGGGACAGTGGGTGTCTGCACACAGCTCTGTGAAGGAGTACTGCGTGCCATTTCAAAACAGCTGCTTTAGCAGCATGCTCATTTTTTATAATCTAGGCTTCTGATTCCTTGCAGAAGAACATAACTTGGTAAAAGTGATGGAACTGGTGGAAGTGGTATATGGTCCATATAAGCCCTATCAGCTGCAGTATGGAGACCTGGAAGAAGAAAACCTCCTCATCCAGATCAGTGCAGTGCCCCTGGTAATGTAATGTTCTCCCCTTCCTCTGCATATTATAAGGTCGCAGGTCACTGCAGGCTGGTGGTTGTCACACTGATTGGGCCCCTCATGTTGGAGACTGTTTGCAGTTTCCTTTGATGCATTTGTTTGAGTCCATAGCTGCCTTGCTAATCTCCTTAGGGTGATCAGAAGGGAGCATGTAACCATCGGTGGAATGCTCTGCTTCCATCAATGATTATTAGAGCAGCTAAGGAGTGTATTCCTGTGAGCTATGCCAAGACCTGGTGTGATGTGGGTATTTCAGGGGAACTCCTAAAAGGAGGGGTCGGGATGAACCTTCTGTGTCTTTTGTTGTTCAGGAGCACTGGGAAGTAATTGACTGTGTCCAGGAGCTGAACTACTCGGTGAACAAAGTCTTCAGCTTGGCTTCTGCAGCCATCGACAACTGCATGAAACTCACGGATGGACTGGGCGTGTGTGGACTCCTCAAGGCCCTCAGAGCTCTTTTTGCCAAGTAAAGCAGTTCTGTTTTGCTAGCACTCTGTTCCCAAGAGTGAGGGAGTGTTCAGTGGGTGGCTGAACATGGGGAGGGGAGGGGGTTTCTTGTATTGTCAGCACTCAGGCGTGTTTTATATAGATTGAGAAAGCACTTAGCATAATCCCTGCCTGCGTGATCTCCCGTTCTGCCACTTATCTCAGCCAGCAAAGGTGTCTCAACGTGTTGTTTCCAGTGAAAAATGAGAGATACACGTGGCGATACAAAATGCTCCTAACGCAGTAGTTCCCAAATTCTGACAGATTGCCTACCACCAATTTAAAATAATACAAACTTAAGTACCTCCAGCAAGTTTTTGTCATCTAAAGTAATTATAATTAATCTGTTAATGTATACCACTGACAGGTGGTCTGCATACCACTGGTAGTACGTGCACCACAGATTGGGGACTGCTGTACAGCTGCAGTCCGGCTGAATTTGTGTATGCAGCAGCCTGTAGGAGGAGCTGGCTTGGGGGTAAATTAAGACAGTTCCCAAACAAAATGCTCCCTGTCCCTTGCTTCCCCTCTAGAGAGGCAGGAGAGAGAACAGATGTTTCTCAGTGCATGACTGCAGTGGAACAGGAGCAGCCTCAGAGGCTTTGGCTCATCTTTCTAGAGCTGTCGTTATGGCTTGTGACAGCAGAAATTCCCTGCTGGCAGTGCTGCAGGTTGGTTCCCCGTTGTGGATGCAGAGCAGGTTACTGTGACTGGTGCTCTGGGCTCCTCTCAGCCCCTGCGCAAGTTTGTCTGTCACTACTCACCACGTATACCTGCAGGGGAGCTTTAGCAGCAGCACCCAAACCCACATTTGCCCTCCAGCCTTCATTTACCCCAGTCACTCAGCCTTTGACTGCAGGCACGAGCGAGGTATGCATGGCCCTGCACAGTTTGCAGGCCTCTGGACTCCCCTTACTGCAGCCTGGCAGAGCACAGTTTGGGAGTTGCTGGGACAGGGCAGTGAATGCCTTCACTGCACTTCCCTGGTGAAGGGCATCTTGTTCTTTGCTCCTTGTTTGAGACAAAGAGAGCAGCTTGCAGCAAATGCTACTGTCTTGCTCTACAGCCTGAGGCCTTTTTCCTTGCCTTTTTTTGCTCCGTTTCTCCCATAGGTATGCATCCGACTTCACCAACACTTTGCAGTCTGTACGGAAGAAATGCAAACTGGATGATATTGCTTCAGATTCCCTCTTCCAGGAGGACTGGACTGCGTTCCAGAACTCCATCCGGTAAGGGTGTGGGGAGAGGTGGGCTCCGGGGACAGCAAACACTGAAGCTGTCACTTAGTGTTTGGCCCCGAGTCAAATCTGAGGTTTGTATGAAAACTGAAGGGGCAAAAAAGTTACCCTAAAATGGGATTCTTCTGGACTGTGGTGTTTAGCTTCCTTTTCTCTGGGCTTGGCAGGCCCTCCTTGAAGAGGGAAAATCCCCACTCTTACCCCATTTTGGAACCAAGGCTCAGATCCACAAAGCATTTAGGCACCTAACTCCTGAACACCTTGGTGTACCTGACCCCAGTCCTTGCTGCTAATGCTGACTCTTCTTTGCCCTTTCCTTGTCAGGTCTGATTGGAGTGAAATTTAACAAATGCTTTTGTTCCTGGCAAGATATTAATGAAACCTCTCTAGCGTTCTCTCATTTGACCCAGTCTGCCCGCCAGAACGGCACAATGTGGGCAGTAGTCTTTCTAATTCACCTGCTTCTGTAGAGCTAGGCTGCTTGATGAGGCGAGGGTGTGACCTGGGTGATGAAACTGGTTGCAAAACTAGAGTCCTTTTTCCTCTTAATTTTCCAGGGAATGTAGCAGTGATGGATTTATGTGCAGCTTGCTAAACCTCAAGGCAGTTAGATGCACAACTACTTTATCTCTTGGATTGCAGCTACTTTAAGGCTCAAGGAAGGGAGGACAGTCTGTCATAGGCCTCTGATAGGATCTGCTGTAAGGTTTACTTGATATCAGACAGTTGTGGTTACGACGTGATCCACCTTATTCAGATTTTGAGAGCGGAGCACTGTGGTAGCAGCCGTAGGTGGTTGCTGCATTTGAAACACCATATAGCCCAGTCCTTGGAATCTGTAGTTAATGGACAAGCGGAAAGAGCAATGTCTTCCCTCAGGAGAGCTCTTGCTTCTCCTCAGTGATGAGTTTTTCCTTCAAGCCCCTTGTATAACAGAACCAGGTGAAGGGAGGGAGCCTCGGTGCTGTCTGCCCCAGGCGTGACCACGTGGCATATTGTGTTCTTCCCTCTCCCAGAATAATAACAACTTGTGGTGAACTCCTTCGGCAGTGCGGGGACTTTGAGCAGCAGCTGGCAAACAGGTAAGGAGGGCTGGAATGACCACTTGTGTATCCAGGCTAAAGGAAACAGCCCCTGGGGGCTCTCTCTTTAGGCAGGTGGCCGAGGGAATGTGAGAGCCTTTTGCTAATCACAACGAGCAGGTTGAGTGATTTAGTGGACAGTGTCTGTTAGCTGATGCCATGTCTGCCAAGACGCAAATGTGTAACAATGGCTAATAAAATGTAGGGCCGAAATTAAAACAAGGCACTAGCTCGAAACATTGCAGGGTTATTCAGTGAAACTGGGAGAATATTTTTCCCCTTGTGCAAGTTGGCTAGAAGCTTTGTCCCCAGTCTCCCTCCCCCAGCCACCAGAGACTGGCCACAGCTGGGCACTGGATGGAATGGATCACACCCTGAGGCAGTATGGGATCCTCTTTGGGCTGCTTGGCCTGTGTGTCTTGCCCACATGTTAAGATAAAGGGGCGTGGTTTGGGGGTGAGAAGGAATTTCCCCCCCAGGTCAGACCGGTAGGGCCCCGCCATCCTCTGCAGCACAGAGCACGGTCCACCTGACAGCTCACCTAATCAACTCCCTGCCATTTCTGGCACCTGTGCCACAAGTGGCACCTTCATTTTCCCCTCTTGCTTTCTGACCCTTGCGCACAGGTCGGGGCTGAAATGCCTTTGACTTAATGGAGTCCTTGAGGGATGTTGGGAGATCTGGGTGGAATCTGATGGCCTGTGATAAACAGCAGGTAAGACAGGTGAGATCTGCTGGTCTCATCTAGTCTTAATGCTGAGGGCCTGTTAGAGAGAGAGGGGGCCATGGGTAGGAGAAGTGGGCCAGCGCAGATGCTTCGCTGCATAGGTCTGAGGCATTTGCATTTGTTCCATGGAAGCAGGTCAGTCAGGTTTCCATCAGTTGTTGCTCTTGGGAGCCTCTGGTGTTCCTCTGAGCAGTGGATTGGTGCACCTGTGAGCTTGTCTGCTACAGGTACCTTCCATGGCAGCTAGAACCATCTTGGTGACCCTGGAGAGCTCTGAGAGCTGTGCAAACAATCACAGCTCCCAAAGCTTGCAGCAGTGCCCACGTGCAGCAGTGCTGAGGCTGCTGTGTGCTCCAGAGAGGACAGTCTGCCAAAGGGCATCCTGTTGGTAGGGCACAAGTAATAGCTCTTGGTAGGAGGTGGGGATCAGGCAGGAGGACCCCCTCCCCCCAAAGCTGGGTGTGCAGTAGGGTGTTGCTGGTCCCAGTTTGGGTGTTCTCAGGTGCTTTGCAAGCCTGGTGTTTAAGTGTCCCCCCCAGTCTCTGGAGCTGTGTGGTGTTACCATTCCAACACATGGCAGTGGGTGGCCCTTCTCTCCCGAATCCTTTCCTTTGACTGTGAAGGGTCCTGCTGGCACCCGTGGCCTAAGGCTGGTCTCAGGGTCACTGCAGAGCCATGTGTTACATGCCGTTTGCCAGCCTAGGGAGGAGTGGATGAAACCAAGCATCAGGCCATCTTTGCACAAACATGCAGACCACACTGGTTGTGGAGCTGTTGGGCTACCCCCTCCCTTCCCCACTTCACTCAGTGTTGCACTCTTCTTCACAGGCCAAAGCTGGCTGCGTTGGTGGTGTTGGGGATGCAGCAGCAGAGCCTCCTAAGACAGGGCTGAGGGAGGTTCCTGGCAAGGCTGCAGCTGAGGCCAAGGCCCGTGGGGAAGGCTCAGGCAGTCGCTCAGGGCAGTGAACTGCTGACTCCAGTGGAGCTTGTCTGTAACTTTGGTTTCAGGATTTTATCCACAGCCGGGAAGTACCTCTCTGACTCCTACAGCCCCTGCAGTTTGTCCGGCTTGCAGGATGCCAGCTTGGCTGACAAGAAGAGCACAGGCAAGAACCCCTGGCAAGAATACAGTTACCTTCAGAAAGAGAACCCGGCTGAGCATGCCAGCCTCCTGGAAACACTCTACACCTTGAAGGTGGGAAAGCAGCCCTGCCCCAAAGCACTGTGGCCTTGTGGGTGGCGGGTTGGCAGACGGGCCTGGTGCTGGTGCTTCCTGCGGATCAGGATCTCCCCGAAGACATCCGTGCCTAATTCATGTGGCACTACTAAGAAGGAAATCTCCCTCTCTGAAAACTGCAGCCTCATGGCATCTCCCCAAGGCATGGCGCTCTGGTCGCACACTGTGAGCTGCTTGCTTTGGTGCAGAGGAGCCATCCAAGGCATGAGGTCTTGGAAGGTTTGTGTCCGAGTCCCCTTGGGTTCCCAGCTGGTACATTGTCTGTCCAAGGCTTTCTCCCCTGCTGACGTCTCCATCCTGAAATGTAATTCTGCGGGAGCGTTCATGCATGTATCTGTGAACAGGGTAAAGCGACTCCTGGAAGTTATCTTCCTGCCGATCTAATTTATGTACATTTACCATCATCAGTCACTTGGAAGAGGAAAGCTAAGGTTATTTATTCTGGCTTCCTTATTTTCTCAAGGTACTCTGAACTTTTTGGTATTTAATATACGCATAATTCATGCAGCTCTGTGCTCAGTATTATACACTTGCCCTACATAGGAATAGCAATTTTTTTTCCATATTTAACCTCTGTGCAGAGCTCTTCCGTGCTCCTGAACAGCAGGTCAGCTGCTTTGTGCCCTCTAAGCTGGGTCAGCTAAAGGTCATGCTGGTCCTTCTCTCTTGTTAGGATGGGGGAGGAGAAGGAGGTGCCAGGGCTCTGTCAGAATCTCTCTGGGACTGCGCATTGCAGTGGCAGCTCTGCCCACTGATCGCATGTACCTCTGTGTATGGCCAGCTCTGCTGGCTGGCACAGAGGGAATGTGGGACCTCTTCTTCCTGCTTCCTCCCAGAGGTGTGACCTCAAGCAGGAAGCATTGGGAGTGCTGTCCGGTGGAAACATGCCCAACTGCTGTGGGGATGGCTCCATTTTGAGTCTGTGCTGAGCCAAGTAAAAGCCTTCCTTTCAGATGGTTTGGCTTATGCTTCTTAGGGCCAGTGCAATGACGTCTGTATGTGTGTGTCTCCTTTTTTATGCTAGGAGAAAGGCACAAGTAACCACAGCCTGCTGTCTGCATCTCGAACTGCCCTAACTCGCCTCAATCAGCTGGCACACCAGTTGGCGTTCGATTCTGTTTTCCTTCGCATAAAACAGCAGCTCTTGCTCATTTCCAAGATGGAGGTGCGTTCCTGGGATGGTTCCTCTGATCCAGAAGGAACCGCGGTAAAATCTGGCAAAATCATCTCCCTGCACTATCAGGGAGACTGGGATGGTGATCCCGTGTCCCTTTCCTCTCGGGGCTGCCTTCAGGCCCAGGTGATCTCACCTCTGGGAGTTTCCCAGATGTGAAGATTCTGCCTTGGGCTGCATGCATGCTTCATGTCTGGTTGGGTTTTGGTCTTCAGATTCTGATGTGCGTGGACATCGGTTATGTCATCTGCATGTGCATGTGGTTTGCACGAGGAGCAGTGTAGACTGCTTGAGAGGTGGCTCTTATTACAGATTTCTCAGACCTGATTTCTCTTGGGGACCATGGACAATCCCACTCTGTCACCAGGTGAGTCTGCTCCTTCCCTCTAGTCATGTGGAAAGGGTCTTTGACTGGTTCTCTGCTTTGCTTCTTAGGGCTGGAGCTCGGGTGGCATTGGCGAGACGCTAACAGATGACCTACCAAACTTCAGCCTGACTCCCCTGGAATACATCAGCAATGTAAGGGCATGTGGTGATCTGTTCTGGAAATGTCAGGGTGCTGGGGACTTTCTGGTTTGTTTCTGCACAGGGATCCAGTTGTTTTCTGTATGAGGGTAGGAGAAACCATATTATAGGCGTGGCGTGTCGTGGTGTGTGTCTGTTGTCGTCGTCGTCGTCGTCCTGTCCCTCCCCCCACCCCCCCGGAAGGATTTGCAGTTTGGGGGGAATCCTTGGCATGGGGCCTGTTGTTACCAGTGCAGTCTTCAGTCTTTTCTTTGAAAAGCCCTGGAAAATGAACAACTGCTGGGCAGCATTGCTTGAAGTGCCAACTGTTGCACTGGGTAGGAAATGTGGCTGCTTCTGAATGCCATGCTGCTTACTGACAAGGAGGCTTTTGGTGTCTCTTCAGAGACTGAAGAGCCTACCCCCCCAGTGCAGGTGTCACACAAAGGAAGCCCTGTTGTACCAGTGACTTGCCAAAGAGCTTGATCCCTTCTGCCCTTCCAGGCCCTGGGAGCCTCTCTGGTCTTTCTGCACCTGCAGAGGTAGAGGAGTCTTTTTCGAGTACCAGAACGCTGGGAATGGGATGAGGAACATGGGCCAGTTGTGTTGGCGGGTCCTGCTGCCACAGCTCTTTGATTCTGTTCACTGGTGCAGGCTTGGAGGTTGCTCCCTTGCCTCCCCCCTAGATTCATAGATTGTAAGGCTGGAAGGGACCTTGGAAGATCATCAGGTCCAGCCCCCTGCACCAAGATAACGAGGTCAGGTGACCCCAGCAAGGTGACTGTCTAGTCTCCTTTTGAAGATTTTCTGGGTAGATGATTGCACCACCTCTGGAGGGAGCTTATTCCACAGTATGGACACCCTGACTGTGAAGAAGGTTTTCCTGCTATTGAGCCTGAATTGGTCTTCCAGGAGTTTGTGGCCATTACTTCAGTGTTTTCCCCTTGGGTGCCCTGGTGAACAGTTGCTCACATTTGCTCCCTGTAACCTTTGAACAGGGAGAGGGCAGCAACTCCAATGTCTGCCTTGGTGAGCCAGGCTCTGTTGGAGATTGAGGAGAGTGGAGCTCACTCAGTGGGTGCTGATGGCTTGCTTGATCTGCCGTGTAAATGTCTGCCTGGCACTGATGTGTGCAGCACATGCTGCTCTCTAACAGGGAACTGGCCTTTGAGAAAGTGCCCCTGCAGTGAAGGCAGCGCCTGCGGTGTTGCTGCTCCCTGCTGCACAGAGCTAACAGTCAGGTACTGCTGAGCTTTGTGGTATTCGCTGTATAGCTCGAAACCAAGCCACCGTGGGGAGGTCTTTGTCAAAGTGCAGAGGTTCACGGGTGATGCAGCTGGTAAAATGGAGAGGGAAGCTCCTGCTGCTAATTTTGTCACCAAGCTGCCAGTGCTGCTTTCCTGAGGGAACACCTGACAGCACACATGAGCCCTGGATGTGTTTGGCCATACGTAATGGCAGTTTAAAAACCTCAGCACCTCAGGCCTTTGGGTCAGCTCACAGAGGGACTCTGTGTCCGTGTGGGCCAGAAGTAGCACCTAGGAGCCGCCTGCCTGCAGGGTGTTGGCTTTCCAGAGCCTCCTTTCCAAAGCTGCTCGTTAACCTGTGGCTGGGTGCAGAGCGTGAGTGCTGTACATGCTGGGACCAGGATGGAGTTTAGGCAGCCTTTGAAGCAATCATAGAATCATAGAAGTCGGGTTGGAAGGGACCTTGTAGATCTTCAAGTCCGACCCCCTGCCTGGGCAGGAGGAAAACTGGGCTCAAGTGACCCCAGCCAGGTAGGCATCGAGCCACTTCTTAAAGACCCCCAGAGTAGGAGCCAGCACCACTTCCCTTGGAAGTTGGTTCCAGATCCTAGCCGCCCTGACTGTGAAGTAGTTCTTATGGATGTCTAATCTAAACATGCCTAAGTTTATGGATGTCTAAAGTTAGGGCGGCTAGGAGCTGGAACCAACTTCCAAGGGAGGTGGTGCTGGCCCCTACCCTGGGGGTCTTTAAGAAGAGGCTGGAAGCCTGCCTGGCTGGACTCATTTGAGTCCCGTTTTTGTTTTTAGGGTTTTTTGTTGTTCTCCCGCCCTGGCGGGGGGTCGGGCTAGAAGATCTATTAGGTCCCTTCCGACCCTAAAACTATGAAACTATGAAACCTACTCTCCAACAACTTGTGGCCGTTATTCCTTGTTATCCTGGGGGAAGCTAGGGGAAACAAGGTCTCCCCCAAACCCTTCTGGTCCCCCCTAGTGAGTTTATAGACAGTCACCAGGTCCCCTCTCAGCTTCTCTTGTGAAGGCTGAACAGGTTCAGGTCCCATAGCCTTTCATTGTAGGGTCTTCCCTGCTGTCCCCAGATCATGCGGGTGGCCTCCTCTGGACCCTCTCAATGTTGTCCACGTCCCTCTTGAAGTGGGGTGCCCAGAACTTTGCAACGCTGCTGCTTGGCCTAAAATATGCAGGTGCCATTGAGACTGAGACCCATGCAACCGCACTTGCCGTGCGGAAGAGCTGTCCATGGGGTTTAGTGTGCTGCCCAGGGAGGGCAAGTGTCCGGGTGGGTTCATGCAGCTTGTGTCTGCTTTGGGCAGCCTCTGTGGCATGACAGCATTCTCTAACCTCCCCGCTACAACTGAGCTGCTGTTTCCTCTTCTGTGGTGAGTTCGGAGCAGGCTTTTTGGTTTCAGTCCAGAAAACAAGGCACCCAGTCCCCCCAGGTTCGAGGCAGTAATTACAGCCCTAGGCCTGCCTACCTGTTTTTCTTGCCACAGTTGCCTCTGTGACTGGGTCCTTGACTTTCTGCAAAAGACTTCCTCTTGCACGGACAACATGGGCCAGTGGCTGGGAGGGGGACCTGGTTTCTGGAGGGAGTCGAGGTTGGCAGCTGTTGGGCTTGGTGGTCAGGCCCAGCCCTGGCCCCAATCCATGCCAGGCTGCCCTGCATGTGGGTCCTAACAGCACTGTGTCAGACTAACAGCCCTTTCTCTTTGCATTGCAGATTGGGCAGTATATCATGTCCCTGCCACTGCATCTCGAGCCGTTTGTTACACAGGAAGATTCTGCTCTGGAATTAGCATTACATGCTGGAAAGCTGCCATATCCCCCAGAGCAAGGTAGGACGCAGCTGAGCCAAGTGCCTGTGCAGAAGCCCCATGTGGCTTTGACATTGCAAAGATGGAATGACTTGTGGTTAGGAGGCCTCTTAAGACTTATGTGCTAAGTGGTGCAGTACCCTGCTGCCTGCCCGTATGGGGCCTTCCCAGCACCCTTATTTAACATGTAAAACTGCAGTGGCTTTATTAAACACAGGCTCTAGCTCCTGCTGTTGCTGTGCCTCGTGCTTTCTGCCAGCTCTCCTCCTTTTCCCCAGCTCCCTTTCCTGTCCTGGCTTCACTGTAGGTACATGATGCACTGAAGCAGGTGGGCATCACCCAAAGGGTCCTGATGGGGACTAGTGTTTCTAAGGAAATCATTTTGTGCAGTGCAGTAATTGTGACAGTTTAGAGCTTTGAAGGCCAGAAAGAACCGTCAGGTTGTCTAAGGCCGCCTATGTATCGCCAGCCACCACATTTGATTGAGGTAATCTTAGATGAAGCCTGAAGAGTCAATCTAGACAAAGGCACTTCAGCCCTAAACTGTGCTAGAGGCAGAGAACAGGAGAGACTGCAGTACCAGCCATGCTCGAGGCCCCTGCCCCAACTGGGAGCCATGTATATTAGATGTTCCCAGCAGACGAAGCTTGCCCCTAGGTCCCTACATCCTGACCTGGGGAACATCCCTCCCTGACCTCAGATCTTATCATCATCCTGACCCTGAGCACGTGAGCAAGGCGCAGTAGCCAGTCCTCTGGGAAAGAGATTCTCTGTCGCTTCACGGCACAGCTCTCCCCTTTCCAGCGTCACACTGGCTTTGGCCACAAAACCCAAAGTTAATCGGGGAAGAAAATCCCATCGGGGACCCTGCAGGCAGCCAGCTGCAGATCTATGGCACCAGATGGGATTATAGGCGTTATCTTAGTGCTGTGAGCAGCCCAGGCCTGGGATGCAGTGCAGGTGTGCTGTTCTTCCTGCTGCCTGTGAAAGAAAGGAGCAGACTGAGCCCACAGCCAGGAGGGTCTGTTTTACAGACAGATCACAGAGCAACTCTGAAAGCTGGCAACAGCTTCGGAAAACATCTAATCTCATCTTAAAGATACCTGGCAAGTGAGCCTTCCCCACCTCCCGTTCCTTCCTCCAGCAGGCTGTAGCCATGCGTGATTGCCCTCCCTGCTTTGCCATCACATCCTCTTCCAAAGCTGAATGTATCGTGCTGCCATTTCCAGCCACTGGATGTTGTTCTGTCACTGCCAGCAAGGCTGGCGGCACATGGGCAGCGTGGTGGTGGATTGCAGAGCGCTTTACTGGATAGGCTGCACCAGACACCGATGGCAACATGCTCTTGTTCCAAACAGTGCTTGAACCCAGGGTGGGGGAATGACTGTTATCAAGGGCCCTTCTTTACCTCTCCAGGGGCTGAGAAGATCACCGACTCTTTGGCCTCTTATGATCCCCAGAAAGAAAGCGCTGTAGTTTCCACCCCATGTTCCATTGCTTTGTGGTTAAATTTGGGATTTCAGACAGGCTCTCTCTCTAGCCTCTTGTCTCCTGCTCTCTCATGGGCTTCCTGAGAACCAGGGCCTTGCAGCTGAGCTTGGGAAAGTGAGAGGGCCTGTCTCCTGCCCTTTAAAAAGTTACCCGGATTCCTGCAGAACTGTGAGGATTCATGTTTTTTTTTTCTCTCCAGGCATCCACTTTCTGCGCCAGCCCCATGAAAAGCTTTTGGTGACCTGCAGGCTGGAAGCAGGGGAGCCCCTGTGTTTTCATCTAAATGATACTGCTCTGTTTTGGCAGGGCTTGGTTCAGCCCCCAAGTCCATGTGCCCCAGTTGTGCCCTCATCCAAGGGCAGAGTTTGTGGAACCCTCCGCCACTCAGATTAAATAGGAAAAAATGTTTGCTTTGTTTCGGCTGGGGCTCATTTGGGATTAGAAGTGTCATATAGCCTCGGGAGCTCTCTCACTTACGATGCGGGTCTGCAAACACTGTCAGTCACTCTGATCTCCCTGGAAAGGCAGCTGCTGTGGGGCCTGGCTGACAGTTTGCAGCCCTTTCCCCGGAGCATATTGAGCTCACTTCTTGAAACCCAGGGAGTTCCCTTTCAATGCCTTCCCTTAATCCCTGGAATGAAGTGTCTTGTCTCATCCTTCACTTGCCAGTGATTGTCCTCATCTGTTGTGTGCAGCTAATCCTGCCTTTGTGAGAAGGCATGAGTACAGTGTCCTTCCCAATGGCGTGGCTGCATGGCTCATTTTGCAGTGGCTGATCTCCTCTTAGTGTTTTCTTTCACGGACAGTGGAGACAATGTGTGACTTGGTGACGTCTTCCTCATGTTGCTTTCTGAGAGCACAGTGGCTTTAGCTCTCAGCATTGAGGATCATGTCTTATTAAAGTTTTCATGTTTGAAGGGTCTTTGAGTTTTGTAAACACCTTCCTTGCAGCAGTGAACAGTGTGTGCCTGGAACATGCTCCAGTATCTGAAGGTTTTGTAGACAAAGTTATTAACTGTTTCTTCTAACATAATAAATCCACATGAGGTCAGCGACCCAGTGTGGTGAGGATCCCAGTCACTAATGAGCACTCTCTGCAGGGGACGAGCTGCCCGAGCTGGATAACATGGCTGACTACTGGCTGGGTTCCATCGCCAGGGCCACGATGCAGACCTACTGTGAAGTGATCCTGCAGATCCCGGAGCTCACTGTCCACTCCACGAAGCAGCTTGCCACAGATATCGGTAAGGCCAGAGCAGAGACAGTCCAGAAAGCTTGCTTTCCACTTGCAAAAGGAGGCTTGGAGAGTAAGGCTTGTAGGACACCCCCCACCTCCTTGGAGGTGCTGGTTGCTCTCAGGCTCCATTGCAGTCTCTGCTTGCAGAGGGAATGTAGCGGGGCTTCACGTTGTGCCAGGCTTGCTCCATACCCAGTGTATCGAGGCTTTTGGTGACATTGTGTTCTGGGCAAAGAGAGCTGACTCATGCCCCCTTGACCTACCAAGCATCCTGCTCTGAGCACCACAAGCCACCTTCTCGGCACAGTGTGACTTTGTTTAATTACACTGAGCACCAGTTAGAACCCAGACCGCTCTTTGGGGAGCTGGGCCCTTTTGACCAGCGCGGAGATGATGGTGAGAAGAGAAGGCTTTAGGCCATGGGAGCAACTTTAATCCTGGCTTGTTACTGTTCACAGTGTGCACTTTTCCTTGAGGCACGCACAGCCTGGTGTGGGGAAGGGCTTTAGAATGCCTTCCTCCCAGATGGCACTGTGGGGCACTCCTGCTGGACCAGCACCAGAGACCTGGGACCCAGCGCCTTAGTCCCATTTACTTCCCTTCTGTGTAGTGCAAAGGGTACCCGAGGATTCTTTCCAGGGCCGGAAACACTCAGAGCAAGTAGCATAAAACAACACCAGCTATTGTCTCCCCTTGCCATGAACAGGTGGCAGCAGGCTGGAGAGTGGAGCTGGGGTCATCTGGGCTCTTAAGCCAGCAGGAACTCTTCCCTAATATGCATCAGCTCAAGTCAAAGCAGCCCTAGGGTTGCTCTCAGTTAGTAGGTGATTTAAAGGAACACAGAGGCCCAGAGCTGGTTGAGAGCTACTTTGGTCTCTAGTCTCAGCTGGGAATGAGTTTGGCATAGCTGAGAGTCCAGCCATGAGCTTGTCTGGAACATGGAGGCACTGGCTCGGCAAGGCTGAGCCGCAGCTGCTCCCAACTTCCACGTTTAATCCCTAGTGGTCACTGAAGGGTCAGGCTGTGGAAGCTGGGATGCTGATCCTTCTTCCCAACAGTCCCTCTCCCTACAAAAGGCCCTCTGCAGTTCTAAGCAGGTCTTTTGCCATATGTTTCGGGGCCCTCTGCTCCTTTCCATGGTGCTGAGCATCTGGGACAACTGCCATGCAGATGCAGGTTTGAGTGGAGCCTGTGTGGTTCCCGAAATGCAGCTAAATGTGGCCAGGGAATAAGACCCCCATCCGCCAGGCAGCACAGCAGGAGCCCAGCTCCTTTACAGGTGTCTGCTGGGATGCAGCTGATGGGGAGGCTTCTTTGGGCTGTGACGCTGTTTTGGGAGCTGGTTGCATGGGACATATCGCATCTTTCAAATGTACATATATCTTTTCTTTTGTAGATTATCTAATAAATGTGATGGATGCCCTCGGCCTTCAGCCGTCCCGGACACTCCAGAACATTGTCACGCTCTTGAAGACCAAACCGGAAGACTACCGGCAAACAGCCAAAAGCATGCCCCGCAGGTTAGCCAGCAACGTCGCCACCATGAGGGGCCTGGAGTACTGATGCAGAGGCTGTAACAAGCTGCAGATGCAGATGGTGTCCAGACCTTGTCTGAACTGAATCTTTTCTCCACAAAAGTTTCTGAAGCTTGTGGGACCTGATTGGGGGAAAGGGCGTTTATTTGTGAATTGTTTTAATAAAGGTCTTCCTTTGGCAGGGTGAAGCGAGCTTTGCATATCACTAGAGATGAAATGGAAAGGAAAGGTGTCTTCATGACCATGTTTCCCAGTGACCCTCTGGGTGACCTTGAGGTAGATGTGGTGTGTGACTAGAGGCACTTGACACGGACTAGAAGGAACATGCTGCATGTCAATGAGGGGAGTGACTTTCAGAGCGGTCTAGTCAATGCCAAATCTGAAATTACAGGGTATGTGCGGTACGAATCAGCCGAGTAAGGACTCAACTAGCTGGAGGCAATGGCCATTGCTCCAGTCTTTCATCATCCACGATCTCAAGGAGGTTGTGTCTTGCCAACTAGCAGGAAAGGCAAGACCAAACTAAGCCCTGGCAAGAAAACCAGTTGAGTAGGTTGTTCTCACGAGATTCATGTTTTCTTCCTTCTGAAGCTGTGGCTTCTAAGGAAGCAGATGCCATAAAGTTGTAGTCGTCTTGTGAAATGCAATGAGCCTTGGTGTGTTAGTCTGTGTAGAAAGGTTTTCCTAGGAACACTTCCTATGACTTGGCTTCAGGAGGTCTTTGCGGAGAGTGTAAACTCTCCTCGCTGCATGCTGGTCCTGTGGGACCATGGTGGGCACAGCCCCTGCTGGGGTAGACTGTGCAGGGCTCCCTCTGCTTCTCAAAGTCTGTAGATGAAGCAAAACTCAAGGGCTAGGGGTTGGGGCTGCTTGTGGGATTTTGCATTAGAAGAATCACATGAGAGGTCTCTCTGAACCCTAGCCCTACCCTCGAGCATATCTACTACTCCCCCAGCTTGGTGTCGTCTGCAGACTTGCTGAGGGCGTGCTCTATGCCATTTTCCAGGTCTTTGATGAAGACCTTGAACAAAACTGGCCCCGGGACCGACCCCTGGGGCAGTCCACTTGATACAAGCTGCCAACTGGACATCGAGTCAACGAGCCAACTAGATGTCTGAGCCTAACGATTCAGCCGGTTTCCTGTCCACCTTACAGTCCATTCATACAACCCATGCTTCCTTAGCTTGCTTGCGACAATGTTGTGGAAGACCAAGTTAAAAGGCTTGCTGGAATTAAAATATAAAAGGCTCACCAGTCTCCCTGCATCCATAGAGCCAGTCACCTCATCGTAGAAGCCAGGACTGGTTGGTCAGACATGACTTGCCCTTGGTGAATATATGTTGACTGTTTCTAATCACCTTCTTCTCCAGGTGCTTAGAAGTGTATTCCTCGACCTGAACCATGCCTTTTTCCAGACACTGAGGTGGGGCTTTAGTTCCCTGGATCCTCCTCCTTCCCTTTCTTAAAGATGGGCACTAGATTTACACTTTTCTAATTGTCCATGGCCCCTCCTGATTGCCATGAGTTTTCAAAGATAATGGCTGGCAGCTCTGCAGTCACGTTGGCCGACTCCCTTGGCACCCTTGTGTGCACCCCATCCGACCCCACGGACTTGTACACATCCAGCTTTTCTAAATAGTCCCTAACCTGTTCTTTCACCTCTTTTGGTTGCTCTCCTCCACCCCAAACTCTGCTGCCCGGTGTAGTAGTCTAGGAGCTGACCTTGCCTGTGAAGACCTAGGTGAAAAAGGCATTGAGCACTTCAGCCTTTTCTGCATCCTCTGTCCCTAGGTTTCCTCCCCCATTCAGTAAGGGACCCATCCTTCCCCTGACTTTCCTCTTGTTGCTGACATACTTGTAGAAACCCTTCTTGTTACCCTTCACGTCCCTTGCTAGCTGCAACTCCAACTGTGCTTCGGTCTTCCTGACCATCCCTGCATACCTGAGCAATGCTCGTATACTCCTCCCTAGTTGTTTGTGCAAGTTCAAGTCTCCAGTTGTTTGCAGTTGTTTGTCCATTTGTTCCAGTCTCCCTGGACTGTACGGTCCTTGGGCAGTGCGGTGTTTAGCATCTCCTTAGCATGCCTAGACCCAGGACATAGCTGAGGGCCTGGCCCTGCTCATGTGGAGCTGGAATGGGCTTTGGTCCTGTTCCTCATGCTCCCTCTCCCCTCTTACCTCCAAGGCTTCCAGCTGCTGACAGCGGTTCTCTAGCCCTGCCTCCGTCCTCGTTTGCCTTCCAGCATCTTGCCAACTGTGGTCAGGAGTGGTGCTGTTTGCCCAGGGCAGGCCTTGCCCTGCTTTCAAGCC